CTCTCTCTCTCCCTTTCCCTCCTCATCCCCCCCTCGTTTTTCACCGCTAGCTAGTAAACACAAAACATTATGTATTTACATACATAGTATATAATGTCCTGTGTTTCAGATGGCGCCGTCCAAGCCTTGCGTGAAGGCCATCGTGCGCATGACGTACTGCCCGCACTGCCGGGGCCTGACCTCCACCAAGCCGTGCAACAACTACTGCCTCAACACCATGAAGGGCTGTCTGGCCGGGCACGCCGAGCTCAACGACGTCTGGAACGAGTACATCGGTAAGTTTGGGCTGTTTGGTTGTTGTTTGGTTGTTTTGTTTGTTTGTTTGTTTGTTTGGTTGGTTGGTTGGTTGGTTGGTTGGTTGGTTGTTCTGTGTGGTTTTCCCTTGAATGAATGATGTATATTTGTTGTTTTCCCATGAACGAACGAACGAACGAACGAACGAACGAACGAACGAACGAACGAACGAACGAATGAATGTACAGTCCAAATTGTCTAAAACGGCCTCCCATTGTCAAAGAAAGAAGTGGTTGTTTTAGAAAGGTGGAAGTCTTGCACAGTATCATTATACCGTCTACCTGCCTATGACAGTCACTTTTTTCTTAAATTTTAAATAATGGGTGGTTGGTTTACTGTCTTAGACAATAACTGTTGTATTTTTTTTTAGCACTGTATGGCCTCGTCTAGTCTGCGGGTAGTTGGAGGGTACCACTGATAGGTTCACTTTCTTGTCATCCTTCGGTCACATGCTCAGCCAGGCTTCTTCTGCCTCTGGTTTCTGTCTTTTGTATTCATTCTGGTCGTCTTCTCACTTTCTGTCTCGCAACTTTGCCTGTCAGTGAAAAAGTGTGATGTTGACTGTCCTTTGTGCACGTGTGGTTAGAGGGTACCGCTTGTACAAGATCCATGTCATTGGAAACATTTCTACCGTTTTAATTTGAAAAAAAAAAGAAATATTTGGCACAACATTTTTCTATTAAGTAATTAATTAATTTTTTTTGGTGAGTGCGTAAAACTTAATGACCATCATAACAATCAGAACGACTAAGATTCAACAAGCCGAATATTTTCTACAAATATTATGTCCAAAATACCCCCCTCCCCCCACCCCCCTCTCTCCCTCCGCACACACACAAATACAAGAAAGAAAGAAAAAACCCAGACAAAAACAGAGCC